TGAAGCAGCACATATCAATCGTAGAAAAATTGTTTTATAAAATTTTTTTACCCTATTATGGGCAGCCGTGTAGGCCACCATAACTCCATCTCCCAAATCTACGCTGCCCATATTCTTGTTGTAATCCAGGACAACATTCGGTTTTTCTTGCCTTCTTCCTCTCTTTTCAATCATTGTCTTTTCTTTTCGTCATTATGAAAAGATCTGAGCATCAATACGTCTTTTTTATCCTTCCATTTTAAAATCATAAGTTTGTCTTTGAATCTTACTATATGTTCATTTTTCTGTATTTTTTTGTTTTGTTTTTATTTCACTGGGGATTCCGACTCTGTTTATCCTCATTGTTCCAACAATATCTATTGTTTTGACACAAGAGTTCAGCCAAATGAATTGACGTATAGAAATTATCTAAGTAAATCCTATACCCTTTATTCAGTAAGTCATGTGTTAACTCCAAAACAATTCTTGTTGAACATGTCCACTACTCTCACTAGCGAAATTATACTGATTCCCCCCCGTGTCTTAAATTCATGTGAAGACATGTATGGATGACTAATACCTTTGTTGTTCAGAAATATACGTCACGCCCGTTTCAGGGTGCAATGTATATTTCAAGGACGTATTCATACCCAATATTGTTTACGTTTGACGTATTTATACGTCCCGCTCGGTTAACAGGTTAAAGATATACAACAAAGTAAACAGTTAAGATAAAATCCACAATGTGTAGCCCCTGCAGAAAATTATCAGACATACACAAAAACAGAACAATATTGAACTATAATGAGGAGAGAAAGAAGTCAGTGGAAAAAGAAAAATGGAGAAAAAATAATATGGAATTACTAGCAAGCAGTCAAGGATGTTAAAACACCCATGATAAATATATTCAAGGATTGGCAGGAAAAAAGGCATGATAAATGAATAAAATGGAAGTATGGACATAAAAGACACATCTGCAAATGAAAACAGTCTCTGAAAAAAAAATTCTCTGGGTGGATTCATCTCCCCAATCTCTTGTAGGTAACAAAGACTTCATCTGCAGGGGAAAGGCATCGAATCAGAGCCCATGGATACTTGTGGGAACCAGCTGCATCTTGGTGTGTGTGTGTGTGTGTGTGTGTGTGTGTGTGTGTGTGTGTGTGTGTGTTGGGGGAGGGAGAGTGCAGGAGAGGCCCTGCCTGGCTTGTGAAAGCTATTGTGATAAGACCCAAGTGCACAGTGCCTGCCTGAGACTTGACATCAGAGAATGACACCACCCCAGCCCACCACCATTTAACAAGCCATTTTTTTTTAAAGCAGGCATTGATTTAAAAAGATGAATAAAACTGGGTTGTAGTTGGGAGAGCTCAGAAGACGGTCTTTGCCTGGGAAGAGGCATAAGGTCAGGTGGGGAGACAAACACAAGTTCAGTGGAGGAACCAGAAGCCACAAATGCACGGAGGGCGGCCACTAACAGCAAATTCACACCCAGGTCAGTTAATGACCAGATCAATGAAAACCCCCACAATAAATAATCACCCAAGGATATGTTTTTATTGATTTCAGAGAAATTCATATAGAGAGAAACATCGATGTGAGAAAGAAACATCCACCCCCTTCTGCATGCATCCTGACTGGGGATGGAAACCACAACCTGGGCACCTGTCCTCACCAGGAATTAAGCCCACACCTTTCGGTGCAGGGACATTTGGATAAGGTAAAATGAAGATCCTTATTTACAGGATCATTAATGGAAATGTAATGTTAAGGTGTGAGATGATCAAGGGATTTTGAGGTTCTTGGAGACTAGAAAGAGTGGGAAGTCTTGAGGAGATATGGGGAGCTGGCAGGAGCTATAGTTTAGTAGGACCAGCCACGGCCAGAACAATTGTGTGCCAACCAGGAAGGGGTAGAGGAAGAATACCATGTCTTCTTCCAGCCTTCTAATTTCCTGATGTTACCATCCACTGGCTGAACCCAACTAGAAACCAGCTGGCAAGTCTAACCAAGTGATGCTATCCTTAGCTCAGAGGGCACAGAGCAGGACCAATAAGGACAGACAATAGACCTGGTTAAGCAAACTAAAAAACACACAATTCATTCCATATAACCACTTGGGGAACCAACTGTAGGCCCCCACCCGTGCACCAGGCCTCTATCTTATCTAATAAAAGAGTAATATGCAGATTGACCATCACTCCAACACACAAGATGGCTGCCCCCATGTGGACACAAAATGGCCAGCAGGGGAGGGCTGTTGGGAGGGACCAAGCCTGCAAGGGAAAGCAGTTGGGGATGACAAGGCCTTCAGGGGAAGGCAGTTAGGGGTGACCAGGCCGGCAGAGGTGGGAAGTTGGAGGCAAATAGTCTGGCAGGGGAGCAGTTAGGAGGTGATCAGGCTGGCAGGGGAATGGTTAGGAGGTGATAAGGCTGGCAGGCAGAATTTATTAGTTGGCGGTGAACCCCACTGACCAGCACAGATTCCTAGGCTCCCAGGGAAGGCGGGTTCTCCCTGAACTTCCACCAGAAAGGAGTCCAAGCTTAACCTTCCACCAGAGGGAACTCGGGCATCCCTGGGGAGTCTCCCTCCCATGACCTGAACTCGTGTTCATGGCTGCTTCTTCATCGCAACTGCTACTCACGTGGCCCACACTCCCTCACCCTAAGGGCCCGGCCTCCACAGGGGCCCGGCCAGGTGGTTCAGGTGAGGTGCCAGAAACGGGATGTTGCCTTCTTCCCAGGCCAGGCCAGGCCAGCAGCACCTGCCCTGAGGACTGTGTCCAGGAAGGGACAGTGCAGAGAAATTCAGAAATTGTAGAGAATGCTGACTGGGCTAGGGAAGCGGCTGGTAGAAGCCACACTAGACCTTGAAGATGAGATTTTAGCCAATCTTGCAGATGAGATTTTAGCCAATCAGAAAAAGGAGTCTAAGCTGACAAGCCTGTTGCTAGTAGAGAAGTCTGTGCTAAGAGGCCTGTGAGAACCGGGAATCCCCTGGCCTGATGCAGCCTCCACTGCAAGGCCCAGAGCAGAACCGAGTGCAGGGCCCAGAGCAGAGCCCAGTGCAGGGCCCAGGGCAGAGCCCAGTGCAGGGCCCAGGGCAGAGCCCAGTGCAGGGCCCGGAGCAGAACTAATGGAATCCCCCCTGTGAACGGAGGGAGGAGATGGGCCAGAGGCCCTTGCTGATCCCCACTTATTCTCTCCTAAAAATCTCAAGAATAATAGGTTTTAATTAAATATCACAGATTCTCAGGGACCTTGAGGTGGGGGCTTAGGGCACTGAGGCACCTTAAAGTTCCCTCTCTATTCTTCCTTGTCCCCAACCCCATTCCAGGTCTGAGTTGGATGTTCCTCTCTTATGCTTCCACCCTTACTCTGGAGTGCCCCTGACCTTGACCCTGACCCTGACCCACCACTTGCTGGTCGGAGCCCAGGGTCCATCCCCTGGCACGAGTGCTCTGGAGCGATGCACTCCACAGGGAAAATGAGACCAGCTCACGGCCTCCATTTGAGCTGAATCACTTCCCTGCTTCCTTTACCTGGTGAACTCCTTATATTCTGCTTTCAGACCCTGTCCTCAAATTTAAAAGAACCTAAAATATGGGAGAGAGAGAGACAGAGAGAGAGAGACACTATCTTGTTTATTAATATTTTCCAGGCATTGCCTTAATTGCTCTATAACCATGCAGTACTACCCCTAGGCATGGGCGCGGGGAGCCTGGGAAATCACACATCGATTAAAACCACATCAGTAGTTCCGCCTGTGGGGTGTGATGCTCAGGGGCCGCACAGCAGGAGCTGTGAGTGTGAACACCTGCTCCTGCAGTCACACTGTCAGGCCCCAGGTGCTTCCCCACGTCTTTGTTCTCTGACCTGGAGCTCAGGCGCCGTGTCCTGCTGGTGTGAATGTCTGTGGTTGTGCCTTTGCTGACATCAGATGGACCTGCTTTGTGGTCCAGAGAGGACTGAAGCAGCAGAAGAGCTCAGAAGAGAAAAATCAACTTCAATGTAGAAACCCCCTCGGAATATCCCACTGCAGAAGTGAGGGAACAGCGGTATTTATTCTCACCTTTCCTTAGCCCCAGATACTCCCACGGCCATTAAACCCAGCTCTTGTGGCCTGCCCCAATGACAGCTCAGAAAACCTCACATGGAGAGTGTTTAGAGCTGCAATAGGCTACATCAAGCAAGCAAACAAAAAAGATAAAGAAAAATCCACTTTACTTTCAAATACTTGCATTCAAAGAGCACAAATGCAGTTATTCTCCAATGAGGAAGCCTCACTGGCCAGCAGGAGTGCGTGTATTTTGTGTGTGATAGTCCCACCAGCTACACGTGCAGCAGAGTGGAACGCTTTGCACTTTTAGAGCAGTCACAGTGCTGTGAGTGTGTGTGTGTGTGAAGATGCAGATGTAAAATGCAAGAAACATGATCCTCATTTCCAAAGAGAAGCCTGAGGCTGAAGGAGGTTGAGTAACTTGTCTCATAAAGCGCATTTGAAGTGGCCCTGCAGCTCAAGGCCATTCGTATCAGGGCCCTGCTCCTCCCAGCAGGCTCCAGGCTCCGGAGTGTTTCAGATAATGAAGGGAGCATCTCCGTGACGATGATGTTCTCTCCCTGGTACAGGATCCCCACTTACTTCCCTCCTAAACACCTCAAGTATAAGGACAATAGGTTTAACCGAATATCACAAAGATGCCCACTCTTGAATCCCCTTTCTCTCTCGGTTCTCTGAACCCCTAAGGCATTCACCTTCTATAACAGAAAGACAGTCTTCCCATGTTCCTCAGAGCAATCCCATGCAGCGGGGTTCCAGGCTCTGGCTGAAGCACCTCCAGAGAAGGCATCTGCCCAGAGACAGATGAGGCGGGCCAGCTCCAGTGCTGATTGGCTCCTTCCCTGGGGACTCCCCAGTCTGACCTTGAGTGGCTGCTCTCTCAGGTTTTTATTCTCTGAAGAGGGGACATCAGCCATCAGGTGGAGCAGGCTCTCTCCCCTTACTTCTTCCTCTGTGCTCCATCATGTCTGGGAAGCCGGCTCTGCGGGCCCCCGGAGGCCCCTGGGCTGCAGCTGTGATTCTGTGGCTGGTGGCACTGAGGGCCCCAGTGGCTGAGGGCAGAGACTCCCCAGGTGAGTGCAGGGCTGCTGCCCACCGCCAGCCTGGGGTGGGCTCCGAGGGACCTGGGCTGGGCATGGGGTGGCTCTGACCTTAGAACAGTCCGTGATCACACTTTTCCTCTTCGGGAAAGGGAGCTGCTACCTTCTCATGTCCGCCTTGGGACAAGGCGAGGACATGCCACCTCAGGGGCTCCAGCCTGGGGTGACACAATGGAGGGCGCAGACTGGCCACTGCCAGTGACAGGAAAAGGGTTATTTTTGAAGAAAAAGTTTCTCCAAAGAAGAGACAGCAGGGCTTGTCCCCAGGACCTTGTGTGGACTGAAGACTAAGGGGCTCTGGCTGGGGAACGTGTGGGGCAGGCCTGTGGGGCAGGTTTTGGGGAAAGGGCTCCCCCTCCCTGAGCCTGAGGGGGGGAGGGGGGACTCCCAGCAAACCCTGGCATCTGCGGGCAGCTGAGCTGGAGCCAGGGGCAGGGCTCAGCATCCTCCCAGGGACTCAGGGCCCCACAGGGAGGGGGGGATTGAGTGTTGAGTTGAAGGTGGAGTGGCCTGAGGAGAAGGGGAGAGTGAAGAGGGGCGGCATGCCGGGAAGCCATGTATGTCAGACAAGGTTCTGTCTCCATGTAAGCGCTGTCGGTGCTCCTGCCGCCCAGTGTAGGTGTCCTGGTCTCTGCAGTTACCTTTGTGCTCTGGGTGCTGTGGGCAGCCCGCCACGCTGGCCACTGGCACAGCCGCCTGGGACCCAGGTGGCCTAACTGGGAGCCTGTGCCCTTTCCGCGATGAGCCTCCCTTTCCTGGTGTGTGTGTGTGTGGGGGGAGGGAGTGGGGGGTGGGGGGAGGGGGCAGGAGCTCCTTGAATCTCAAGGGGTAGGAGTTGGGGGAATGCTCTGTGCCAGGGAGGAGGGGGGAGAGCGAGCCTGTGGGAGGAGGACGCTGGGTCGGGCTTTCTGTCCTTACTTTCCAGACTCAGCCTGTGGGGACGCTGGTCTCTGAGGTTTCGGATTCCATGGGAAAGGGGGCCTCGCAGGGGCGTCCTGACCGCTCTGAGGCGGGGTGGATGGGAGATCACACGGCCCTCCCAGCGGGTGTCCGGCTCAGGGGGACCCAGGCCTCTGGGTGTCCCAGAGGCTCATTCCCTGTCCCCGCCCCGCAGGGGGCAGTTCCTGAGGCCGCGGCGCGGGCGGGGCGGATGGGGGCGCCTGTGGGGCGGGGCTGTGTTCTCAGCTGAGAAGGTCCGGGCTGGCGGGGCGGAGGCCTGATGGCGGCTCCCCGCAGGGGACTTCGTGCACCAGTCTAACTTCTTCTGCTACTTCACCAACGGGACGGAGCGCGTGCGGCTCCTGCACAGATACGTCTACAACCGGGAGGAGATCGCGCGCTTCGACAGCGACGTGGGCGAGTACCGCGCGCTGACCCCGCTGGGGCGGCCGGACGCGGAGTACTGGAACAGCCAGAAGGACCTCCTGGAGCGGAGGCGGGCCGAGGTGGACACGGTGTGCAGACACAACTACCCTATGGATGAGGCCATGACCTTGCACCTGAGAGGTGAGCCCGCCCGCCCCCTCAGCCTGACCAGTCTTCCTCCCTGGGAGGGGGCTTCCGGGAGCCCAGCTCCCCCACTGAAGGGACAGGGAGCCAGGGGAGGAGGCGGGATCAGGGTGGGGACTGAGGGGGGCCATGCCCGGGAATGGGGGGAAAGGGAGGGGACTAAGGGTGGGAATAAAGGGGAAAGGGGGATGAGGGCAGGAATGATGGGGAAAGGGGGGAACTGAGGGGGGAATGAGGGGAAAGGGGGGGACTGAAGGCAGAATGAGGGGAAAGGGGGACTGAGGGCGGGAATGAGGGGAAAGGGGGACTGAGGGCGGGGATGGGGGAAAGGGGGGACTGAGGGGGGAATGAGGGGAAAGGGGGGACTGAAGGCAGAATGAGGGGAAAGGGGGACTGAGGGCGGGAATGAGGGGAAAGGGGGAATGAGGGGGACTGAGGGGGAAAGGGGAACTGAGGGTGGGAATGAGGGAAAAGGGGGAATGAGGGGGGAATGAGGGGAAATGGGGGGGACTGAGGGCAGAATGAGGGGAAAGGGGGACTGAGGGCGGGAATGAGGGGAAAGGGGGAATGAGGGGGACTGAGGGGGACTGAGGGGAAATGGGGGGAAAGGGGGGCTGAGGGAGGAATGAGGGGAAAGGGGGATGAGGGCGGGAATGAGGGGAAAGGGGGAATGAGGATGGGAATGAGGGGAAAGTGGGGGACTGAGGCGGGAATGAGGGGAAAGGGGGATGAGAGCGGGAATGAGGGAAAAACAGAGGAGGATTTGGGTGGGGGTCGGGGAGGGTGGTGAGGGGGTAGGATTCCTCTGGCCTGGGAGATCGCACCTGCACAGACCCTTTAGTATATTCAGTTCCCCAGTAGCCCACCATGCATGGGAGTTGGCCCAGGAGTCTGCTCCTCTCTCCACCCATTCTGCACCTCCCACCTCACACTCAGGTGGGTTTGGCTCTTTGTCCCTCACTTTGTGGGAACTAACCCTGTGTCTCTGTGTCTCTGTGTCTCTGTGCCCTGTGCCCTGTGTCCCAGTGCTCCGTATTCCTGTTCTCCATGTCTCTGTGCCCTGTGTCTCTCTACTTGCATACCTTTTCTTTATGTCCCTGTGCCCTATGTCCCTGTGCTCTGAGTCTGTGTGCTTCGTGTCTCTGTGCCCTGTATCCCTGTGCCCTGTGTCTTTGTGCTCCGTGTCCCTGTGCCCTGTGCCCTGTGTCCCTGTGCTCCGAGTCCCTGTATTACATGTCCCTCGTCCTCTAAGCCAATGCTGCTGTGAGCTTGTAGCAAGTCCACCTCCAGCTTAACCCTCCTGGGAAATTCAGAGCTCCACATTGCCTCCAAGGCCCTTTGCACACATGCAATATATCACAGTCATGACGGAGTGTTTGGTTCTTCTTTTTTTTTTTTCTAATTCTTTATTATTTAAAACAGTAGTTCTCAACCTCCCTAATGCCACGACCCTTTAATACAGTTCCTCATGTTGTGGTGACCCCCAACCATAAAATTATTTTTGTTGCTACTTCAAAACTGAATTTTAATGACACATAATGTAAATATCGGTGTTTTCCTATGGTCTTAGGCGTCCCATGTGAAAGGGTTGAGAACCGGTGGTTTAAAGTATTACATATAATATTACATATGTTTCCTTTCCCCCCAGCGACTCTCCTTGGCTGCCCCCGCAACCCAACACTAACTCTAATCCTAACCCAACCCCCACTTCCCTCTAAAGTTTGATGGTCTGTTCGATGCTTCTCTATTTTTGTTCATCAGTTTATGTTGTGTGTGTGTGTGTGTGTGTGTGTTTTTAAAGAATATATTTTTATTGATTTTTTACAGAGAGGAAGAGAGAGGGATAGTTAGAAACATCGATGAGAGAGAGTCATCGATCAGCTGCCTCTTGCACACCCCCTACTGGGGATATGCCCGCAACCAAGGTACATGCCCTTGACCGGAATCAAACCCGGGACCTTTCAGTTCTCAGGCTGATGCTCTATCCACTGAACTAAACCGGTTTCGGCTATGTTGTTCATTATATTCCACGAATAAGTGAGATCATGGGATATTTATCTTTCTCTGACTGGCTTATTTTGCTTAGCATAACGCTCTCCATCTCCATCCATGCTGTTGAGAATGGTAAGAGTTCTTCTTTTTTATGGCAGCATAGCATTCCATTGTGTAGATGTACCACAATTTCCTAATCCACTCATCTGCTGATGGGCACCGAGGCTGTTTCCAAATCTTGGCTATGGTAAATTGTTCTGCTATGAACATAGGGGTGCATATATCCTTTCTGATTGGTGTTTCTAGTTTCTTGGGATATATTCCTAGGAGTGGGATGACTGGGTCAAATGGGAGTTCTATTTTTAGTTTTTTGAGGAAACACTATACTGTTCTCCACAGTGACTGCTCTGGTTTGCATTCCCACCAACAGTGCACGAGGGTTTCTTTTTCTCCACATCCTTGCCAGCACTTGTCATTTGTTGATTTGTTGATGACAGCCATTCTGACAGGTGTGAGGTAGTACCTCATTGTCATTTTGACTTGCATCTCTCAGATGATTAGTGACTTTGAGCATTTTTCATATGCTTCCTGGTCATCTGTATGCCCTCTTTTTAAAAGTGTCCATTTAGCCGAGACCGGTTTGGCTCAATGGATAGAACGTCAGCTTGGGGACTGAAGGGTCCTAGGTTCGATTCCGGTCAAGGGCATGTACCTTGGTTGTGGGCATTTCCCCAGTAGGGGGTGTGCAAGAGGCAGCTGATCGATGACTCTCTCTCATCGATGTTTCCAACTCTCTATCTCTCTCCCTTCCTCTCTGTACAAAATCAATAAAATATATATAAAAGTGTTCATTTAGGTCTGGTGCTCATTTTTAAAATAAATTGGATTGTTTATCTTCCTTTTGTTAAGTTGTTTGATGTCCCTATAAATTTTGGAGATTATACTGTTATCAGAGATAACATTGGCAAATATGCTCTCCCATGCAGTGGGATTTCTTGTTTTGTTGATGGTTCCTTTAACTGTGCAGAAGCTTTTTATTGTTTTGGCTCTTTGGTCTGAAATTATTATTCATGTGAATTCTGTTTTCCTAAATGTCTGTCACCAGTCCTGTACATTTTTTAGCAGCGACTGCCAGGTATGTTTCTGGGCCTTTACCTATACTTCCCTGGTGCAGTGAGTTCACCCAGCCTTTCTGAAATTAATGAATAGATTCTCAGCTGCCACCCACTGCGGCTCAGTAGAAAACAGAAAGGCAAGCACAGCCTTAAAAATGGACTTTTAATTATTTCGTGCTATTTTGCTTAATGTGGCAAACTCTTCATGAGTTGGATCTTAATTTAGAATTTGTGAATGCTAAGTCTGAGGAAAATGTTTGCTAAAAGCAAAAACAACTTTAGTGGTTCATAAGGCAGAATTTTAATCTCTTAGAAAGCTCAGCAAATGGTGCAATAGAGCTGAAGTTTTGAAGTAAATAAAGTGATGCTATTAAATTATTGAATACATTTTTTCAGGTTTTTTTATTTTTATTTTATTTTTTTAACTTAGACCCTGCCTCCTCTCCCCCAGAATCACCATCCATTCAGAAGCAGATATTGTGAATTATACCCATTTAATGAGCATCTATTTCTTGACAATTACCTTACCAAACACCCTCTGTGTATGCTATTTAACTTCAAAGCTACTTGTATTTTAGGAGTTAGCATGACCACTTCAATATGCTGATATTGGCACATAATAAACACTTGAATTAATTAACCCAGCTATACAGTACACAGCAGTCGTTGTGTTCTGTATTGCATGTGAATACTACATGTATACACTGGGAGCACAGCCTCATAAAGCTGTATGACCAGAAACAGCAAAATGAGTCTGTTCCTGCCTTTTTCAGTGCTGGTGGGATGGAAAGTTCACTAGTGAATCCCCAGTCTGGCCCCAGTGTTATCTGCACACGTTCACTTAACTTTTGCTGACTTTGCACTCTCACCTTCTGACCCACATCCTAATGCCACCAAGTGCTTATATTTTTGCCATTTTAGGTCTATTTTCATAAAAATTATTCTAACATTTTTCTTTTGAATTCTTGCCCTGTTTTTTTTCTCTCTCTCCAAATCTGCCTACTATTAATAATAAGCTGACAGCTTTTGTAAATCCAGCTAGCTGACCATGCTTTTAGTCAGTCCCAGGAAGGAGAACCTGACAAGAGTCTAAGTGAGCCTGGCTGGTGTTGCTCAGTGGTTGAGCACTGTCTCATGAACTGGAAGGTCATGGTTTGATTCCCAGTCAGGGCACATGCTCAGGTTGTGGGTTTGATCCATGATCAGAGTGCATGCAGAAGGCAACTGATGGATCTCTCTCTCTCTCTCTCTCTCTGTCCCCTTTTCTTCTCCATTCCTATCTCTATATGTAAAAACTAATGAAAACATGGTTAAAGTACACACGAACTATTTAGCGTATAGCTTCATACTATGCAAAAATGGGAGATGCAGGAAAATGGCTGCAGAGATAAAGGATAAGATGTGCAAATAGGGAGGAGAGGTCCAGAGTGTGTAACCACAGACGGCTATCTGAGAAGATAAAGGAATTGAGACGTGGGCAAATGTAATGTTTATCAGTGTGACCTGTTTTTAAGGTTCTCTTTTCCTTCAAAAAATTACAAACTTTTGAAATAACATTTATTTTACTAGATTGCAAGTTCTGTAAGGGCAGGGACCGTGGTCTGTTGTTTATCTTTCTTTTCCTAGTGCTTGTGGAATTTATATTTGCTGAATGAATGAATAAGTGAATCAGTTAATGGATAAAACATAGGTGGCATGTATGGCGTGGACATGAAGTTTATTATTTAGTAGTAAACAACCTAATGGGAGTTTGCCACAGAATGGCTTCTGAGCTGGGTTAGGCTAACAGCCGAGAGGGCTTTGTTGATGGTGACACGTGAGAACTGCTCCTGCCCTTAAACCCTGTGCGTGTGTCCGCTGAGAATGGCAGGGAAGAGCCCCTTTGAGAACGTTGCTGCGAGGGAGGAAGTGGTGCTCACTGCTTCCTGCTCTGTTGGACACAGAACTGTCTGTAAGGTTCCTATTCCTCAGCCCTGTCACTGTTCCTGGAGCCGTGACCAGAGCTGAGGGTCTCAGGCCCCTGAGACTCAAACTGATGCATTCTCTCCACTGTGCGGAGCTGCGGGACCAACAGGAAACAGGGTCGCTGCCCCGGTGGGAGTCCCTGGAGCGGATCCCCAGGGTCCCTGTCAAGGTGGAGGGAAAAGAAGCCCAGGCTTTTCATCTTTATTTAAAAACATAGTGACTAGAGGCCTGTATAACCTAGCAAGTTAAACATTTCAAGGGCTTCATTTTTATTAATTGTTAATAGAATAACTCCCATAAAATGATTGCTTAGCTCTTGACCCTGAAAAGTTAACTGACTCATGTGTTTACTCAGCTAATCAAGTGGCCCAGCTCCGGTCCTCATCCCGGACTCGGAATCCAGGCATCTTTCCCACTGGTTCAGGGAGGCCCCTCCCCGTGAATCTCACTCTGTCTTTTCCTGTTACCCTCCCCTCCCAGCGGAGCCCACAGTGACCATCTCCCCGGCCAGGACAGAGGCCCTGAACCACCACAACATGCTGGTCTGCTCGGTGACGGACTTCTATCCAGCCCACGTCCGAGTCCGGTGGTTCCGGAACGACCAGGAGGAGACGGCCGGCGTCGTGTCCACCCCCGTCATCAGGAACGGGGACTGGACCTACCAGGTCCTGGTGATGCTGGAAATGACCCCCCAGCGAGGAGACACCTACACCTGCCGCGTGGAGCACCCCGCCCTCCAGAGCCCCATCACAGTGGAGTGGCGTAAGGGGCACTTTCTTCCCTGCACCCTGGGCCCCACAGACAGAGGGCAAACAGGGGCCCTGGCCGTCCCATCACATCCCTACCCCTGATGCCACTGCTGAGTGGACATCACAGGACGCTAGTGCCCTCTGGTGCCATGGCAGAGGCATCAGATCTCATTGTTTTCAGACACTAGGGAGGTCACCTACACTGTGCCCAGTACCCAGCTGGGAGCTCTGGAGGGCAGACTGTGGCAGCTGGTGACGGGGCTTGGGGTCCAAGCTTAAGGATGTGTGTGAAGGAGCAGGACCCACTTCCCCCTGTCACCACCCACGGTGCCCAAGGGCTTACTGGCTGTTCCCGCCCAGGGGTGGAGGCTCCCAAAGGGCCCCTGTGGGTTTGGGGACAGAAGCTGACACCCAGGCTCTGCTCCCCAGGGGCACAGTCTGGATCCGCCCAGAGCAAGATGCTGAGTGGCGTCGGGGGCTTCGTGCTGGGGCTGATCTTCCTGGGGCTGGGCCTTGTCGTCCGTCACAGGAAGCAGAAGGGTAAGCACCCGGGAAACGGGAAGATGGGCTGTGCCCGGGACCCTCTGTTGAGGGGCCTCTGCGTCTAGGTGTAACTCACCTCCCGACCTGGAAGGCAGGAGCTGGGGCTGGTGGTGGGACAGGACGGACAGCCGGGCTGGTGGTGGGAGAGGACAGACAGCTGGGCTGGTGGTGGGAGAGGACAGGCTGGTGGTGGGAGAGGACAGGCTGGTGGTGGGAGAGGACAGACAGCCGGGCTGGGAGAGGACAGACAGCTGGGCTGGTAGAGGACAGACAGCTGGGCTGGTGGTGGGAGGGGACGGACAGCCGGGCTGGTGGTGGGAGAGGACAGACAGCCGGGCTGGTGGTGGGAGAGGACAGCCGGGCTGGTGGTGGGAGAGGACGGACAGCCTGGCTGGGAGAGGACAGACAGCCGGGCTGGTGGTGGGAGAGGACAGACAGCCGGGCTGGTGGTGGGAGAGGACGGACAGCCGGGCTGGTGGTGGGAGAGGACAGACAGCCGGGCTTGGAGAGGACAGACAGCCGGGCTGGTGGTGGGAGAGGACGGACAGCCGGGCTGGTGGTGGGAGAGGACGGACAGCCGGGCTTGGAGAGGACAGACAGCCGGGCTTGGAGAGGACAGACAGCCAGGCTTGGAGAGGACAGACAGTCGGGCTGATGGTGGGGGAGGACAGACAGCTGGGCTGGTGGTGGGAGGGGACGGACAGCCGGGCCAGGCTTTGGACTCGAGTTCACGGGTTGAAAGGCAGCCCTGCCACAGGCGTGACTGTGGCGAGTGTCCTGGGGCTGAGAGCTCATGACTGTCTCGCTGGCCCCTTTCCAGAAGCTGCTTCTTTAAGGTCAGGGCATTGGCTTCCCTTCCTCCTACTGACAGGTCCACTCAGTCGGGGGATTGCAGCTTAGGGGTAAGGCTGTGTGGCTGATGGGTAGGGAGAACATAGATTTCCAATTGAGTTGCTTCTCTCATTGTCTGTGGGCGGGAGAGGGACTGGCTGTGTGATGAGACCTGTCTCTGTGTAAACTCCTTTGGTGGGATCTGGTGGGCCTCCCCCGGGTGCTGTCTCTGCTCTGATTTAATGGGGGAGGGGGATGGCGGGGTGCTGGGACAGGAAAAAGAGGGAGGGGTGGGAGGTGAGTGTATCTGGTCACAAAGGTCGCGGTTCATGGCGTGTCCCTTCCAGAGACCAAGGATTTGGGGAGAAGCTCGCCCAGTTTCTGAAGGAAGCTCCGGGCTTGTCATCCAGACCAGGGCTTAACTTTGGTGAATCTTTCTGTGAAGCCAGAGCCACGTCTTGGGTGGTAGGCACGGGGATGATGCCCACTTTGTGCTACATGCTGGTGGCTCCTGCCTGTGGGCACTTACAGCTGACTCCTAGTGGTGGACGGAGGGTTAGTTTCATTAAATTTACTAAACAGATGAAATGCTCATATCCCCCAAGGGTAACAGCTGTCTGTGTGAGCCAAAGTGGGTGTCCTCTTCAGCTGATTTCACCCCGACAGACCCTGGGGGAGGTGATGACTGCATGTGGGACCTCAGCTTTACCTGATGCTGAGGGCCCGAGAGGAGGCGACAGGGTGTGTCCTCAGGTGCGGGTGCTGACCACTCTCTCTCCTACAGGGCTCCTGCGCTGACTCCTGCGGGAGCTTTGACTGGGATCGGCTGTGTTTCTTCTGAAATGCCTGCTTGTTGTCCTCGTCCATATTTCCCAGCTGCCTGAGAGCCTGCTCCCTCTGAGATCAGCGTCCCAGTTACTCTGATGCAGTCAGCCAGGCATCTGCTGTGACCCCCCTGGAGGCCATGGCTGTGACCTGGGAGTCTGTCCTAAGGGCTTCCAGTTGCATGTATTCAAGGCCCCCAAGGCATTTTTCTTTTGTTCCCCTCTCCCCTACCTGCTGCACTGTCCAAGAGAAGCATATTAAAGCCTTTAGCTGACTCCAGAGCTTTTGTCACAATTAAACACGTTATCTGTATCCTGAGCCTTCTTACCTGGGTGGAGGCAGGAAGCCCCTGCAGAATGGAAGGAACAGGCTTTGCTCCTGGAGGGAGACTAGAGCATCTTGGGGTGAGGTGCTGTGATAAACGTGGGCAGAGAACAATTCAATCATCCTCCTTCCTGGCTCTTTGGTTATTGATGTTCAGTGCAGTGGCCACAGGATGTGCGGCCTCTCTTCCAGCCTGGTGGGTAGAGGTGTGTCAGCAGGTGGAATTACCTGGCCCAGGTACAGTGGCCCCTCGTGTCTCCAAGAACCAAACTGATGTTTCAAATGTTTTTGGCAAGTCACATTGATTAAGATAAAAAATATTTTTTTATGATGACAAAATTCTTTTATTAGCAGACTGGAGGCTCAGTGTATGAATTTGTGCATGGTGGGGTCCCTCGGAATGGCCAGAAATCAGGGCTGATTGGAGCCATCTCATCCAATTCCAATCAGAGTGATCGGGATTTGCCAGTCAAGGAAAGGGCTGCCGGAGGTTAGCTGGCTATGTTAGCACACTGACCACCAGGGGCAGTTCATGCACTGAGTGTCTGCCCCTTGGCGGTCAGTGTACGTCATAGCGACCTGTTGTTCAGTCATTCAGTTGCTTATGCTTTTATATAGAGAGAGCCAACCAGTTAGAAATTGGTGATTAATGAGTGAACATGTTTTCAGGCCTGAACATTTCTTGTGATTATCTGCAGTGGTAGTTTAAAGAATAATTTAAAATTGCATTTTATTATCCAAAGTACTAATAAAAAATATATGCACCCTTATGTTTATTGCAGCATTATTTACAATAGCCAAGGTATAAAAGCCACCCAAGTGCCCATCAATAAACAAGTGAATAAAAAAGTTTGGTACATATAAACAATGGATTATTACTTGGCTATAAAAAAATAAAGAAATCTTACCATTTATGACAGCATGGATGGACCTAGAGGGTATTAGGCTAAGTCAAATAAGTCAGACAAAGACAAATATTATATCATTTCACTTATACACTGAGTGGCCAGATTATTATGATCTCTGAACACATCTGGCCACTAAGTATATATTCTATATAATAAAAGGCTAATATGCACATTGTCCCCTCGACCAAGAGTTTTACCAGCAGGCAGGCCGGCCAACTGCCCATGTCCCCTCCCCCTGGCCAGGATGGCTGGACCCCACCCATGCACAAATTCATGCACTGGGCCTCTAATATATATACTGAGTGGCCAGATTATTATACATTCAGAGATCATAATAATCTGGCCACTCAGTGTATATGGAATCTAAAGAGCAAAATAAATGAATAAATAAAATAGAAATAGACTCATAGACACAGAGACCCAGGTGGTGATTGCCAGAGAAGTTGGGGGTTGGGGGACTGGGTAAAAAAGGTGAAGAGATTAAGAATTACAGATTGAGCCCTAGCTGGTTTGGCTCAGTGGATAGAGCATTGGCCTGTGGACTGAAATATTTGATTCTTGTCAAGGACACATGGCCGGGTTGTGGGCTCTATCCCCAGTAGCAGGTGAGCAGAAGGCAGCCAATCAATGATTCACTCTCATCATTGATGTTTCTCTCTCCCCCTTTCCTTCTTTTCTGAAATCAATAAAAATATATTTAATAATAATAAAAATGAACTACAGATTGGTAGTCACAAAATGATCACAGGGTTGTAAAGTATAGCATAGTCAATAGTATTGTAATAACTATGTACAGTGCCAAGTGTGTACTTGAAATATCACTGGGACTACTTTGTAAATTATTATTTGAGGAAAGTATAACTAGTAATAAAAATAATATTCTTTGTTCCACATGATTGAAATCCAACTGAAGTTTAGTTTGTGGGCTTGATCTCCAGTAGGGGGTGTGCAGGAGGTAGCCAATAAATGAGTCTCTCTCATCATTAATGTTTCTATCTCTCTCTCCCTCTCCCTTCCTTTGAAATCAATAAAAATATTTAAAAAAATCATCCTAGCAAAGAAAAGCCCAGATAGTTTAACTAATGAATTTTATTAAACCTTTAAAGAAGAATTCATGCCAATCCTTCTCAAATAAAGGATACAAGCTTCCACTTGTACGATGAATATGTTCTTGGGAATCTAAGCATATTTTAACAATATTTTTATAAACTTTAAGTTGCAGAGAGCATATCTTAAATGATCTCATCACAACAACAAAAAGGGTTACCAAATGAGATGATAGAGATGTTAACCAATGCTCTGTGATATATAATATATATAGTGTATTAAGTTATCATGTTGTACATCTTAAACTTATACAAAGTTATATTTAAGTAAAGCTGAAAAAAACCCTACAAACAAACAAAAAGGATTTTCCTTATCCATCGGCAATATGTTCCAAGACCCCCCAGTGAATGCCTGAGACCAAACCCTATACATACTATGATAAAGTTTAATTTATAAATTTGGCACTGCGATTAATAATAATAAATTATAAAATAGAAGAATTATAAAAATATACTGCAGTAGGGGCTATGTAAATGTGGCCTCTCTCACTTCTCTCTCTCTCTCTCTCAAAATATTTTTTGAATTGCTTATTTCTGAAATTTTCACTTTAATATTTTCAGACTATAGTTGACTGAGGTAACTGCAACTGCAGAAAGGGAAACCATGGATAAGAGAGGCCATTGTACATAGTATATCATGCTGGTTTTCTCATTGACTAATGAATTAAATAAAATATTTGACTATTTTTAAAATATATGTTTATTGATTTCAGAGAGGAAGAAAGAGGGAGAGAGAGAAAAAAACATTAATGATGAGAGATAATCATTGATCGCTGCCTCCTGCACACCCCCCAATGGAGATCGAGCCCACAACCTAGGCATGTGCCCTTGGCCAGGAATGTAAATGTGACCTCCTGGTTCATAGTCAACACTTAATCACTGAGCCATTCTGGCCTTTTTAAAATGGTAATTGGAAGACAAGGAATCCAAGAAACAGCATATTCAACCTAGGACATCACTGAAAAGAGATTCAACATAAATGATATTTATAGTATTAAATAATGTTTTTTCAACTTTTTTTTAATTGATTTTTTACAGAGAGGAAGGGAGAGAGATAGAGAGCTAGAAACGTCAATGAGAGAGAAACATTGACCAGCTGCCTCTTGCACACCCCCTACTGGGGATGTGCCCGCAGCCAAAGTATATGCCCTTGACTGGAATCGAACCCGGGACCTTTCAGTCCGCAGACCGATGCTCTACCACTGAGCCAAACCGATTTTGGCTGTTTTTTCAACTTTTTAAATAAGCTATGAACAAGCTCCAAGACAACTATTGTTACAGAACAATGTAATATTTTCAACTATGACAATATTTTTAAAAGTGCGGATACCTCAATTTAGCAAGTGGAAGCTTATGGGAGAGGAGGAAGGAAGAGCAGTGATGTCAATACTTTCATCTTCCAAGAAGGCCACACTTAAGGATGAAGATACAAAAATAAGTATGTGAATGAAAATAGTAACTGAAAGAAGGGTGATGTAAGGTGACTCATAATTTAAAGCAGAGTTTTAGCAGTTGAACAGCTCAAAAAAGTCCTCATCCAAAATCTGAGGGAGTTCTGAAGCTTCAAGAGCCCTTCAGAGTTGACCCAAATTAGGATGAGGCTCGATAGCCCCACACTGAGCAGTCACGGGAGAGTTCCCCTGGGAAGGGGCTGACATTGGGTGAGACAGCCATTCTCACCTGGAGGAGAGCTATTCTCACCTGGAGGAGAGCAACTCTGGAGGAGAGCTGAGAGCTGAGGACTGTCAGCCAGCAACTGAGGGAACAGATTCTTCAGTGCTGAAGGGAGGAGATAGATGGCTCAGGAGAGCATCTCTACAGGAGCACTTGTTCTAGTCCCTGGGAATGCACACTTTTGTGTGGAAGAAAACACAGTAGTAAATGTTTTCTTAAAATTTTATCTCTTAAATTCCATTAACTTAGGAACTCTGTTCCTTAAATTAAACATTCCCAGGTCGTCAGGAGTCAAGGTTATGGTGCAGTAAGATATTAACCTGCAGTGTGGCAGTGTGGAATCATAAGAATGCCCTAGAATATACCCTACCAATTACCCTTATAAGGTGGCTTATATTTCAACTAGAAAAGTCAGATCTCCATGTCTGCCTAAACTCTGGGTCAGGTTCAGTATCCAGCCCTGTCTCTTGTCTTTGCAACGTCAAAAGCGAAGTGCTATATAGAGAGAATAAGGGCCCCCTAGACACCCACACAAGTGCTGGCAGGGGGCCAGTGAAGGGGGATCAGGTTGGCAAGTAAAGGCAGCTCAGACGATCATGCAAGCAGGTAGGGTGGCTAGGGGTGATCAGGCAGGCCAACAGGGTGGCAGTTAGGAAGTGACCAGGCTGGCAGGGGGGCAATTAGGGCAGTGGTTCTCAACCTTCCTAATGCTTCGAACCTTTAATACAGCTCCTCATGTTGTAGTGACCCCCAACCATAAAATTATTTTTGTTGCTACTTCATAACTGTAATTTTGCTACTGTTATGAATTGTAATGTAAACACCTGTGTTTTCCGATGGTCTTAGCGACCGCTGTGAAAGGGTTTCGACTCCCAAAGGGGTCACAACCCACAGATTGAGAACCGCTGAGTTAGGGGTGATCAGGCCAGCAAGCGGAGACAGTTAGGGGCGATCAGGTAGG